AGTGGGTGATAATGGCCCGGGGGAGTGGGCTCCACAACAAATCATAGCAGACCTGAGAGGGGTCATGAAATGGACCCCCCAGAGTGTTTTCCCTCTGTCGCTGTGGGAACACAACCCCCCTCCAGAAGCCCCATCTTCCTTCACTCAGGATCCAGCACTGAGTCCCCGTAATACTGTGAGACCTGGACTGTTTCTAATTTCATTTGTATTGTTGCTGCAAGTGTACCACGTCTCATTATAATCCAGAGGCAAACTGATTTTCTCTCAGGGAAAAGGTGAATAGAAAACTGCTGGCACGATCAGGCTGCGTGCGCCAGTTTATCGAGTTGTGCATGCTTTTTCAGGTCGTGCTAGAAAATGATTTACATGCTAAAAATGTGGTTAATCCTGAATTCCACGTCCTTGATCATAACAGGCATGTAGCTCAAATGCCCCTTTGCACAATCTTTCATAATTCTCCTAATCATAATATCTATTCAGTTGCCAAAATATTTGTCCTGGTGTTGAGGGGGATAGAACTAACTGGGTTAGCACAAAATGATTATTTTCTCCAAAACTTAAAAAGGGGTCCCAATGTAGACTAATAAGTTGACCTGATCGGTTAAGAAACACCGTCAGGAGATGCCTGTGCAGCTCAGCCCAGGAGCAGTCCTGACTGGCCTGTGCAGACAGGAGGGGACAGGAGGTGCTGCTGGACCCTGTCAAACGCCCCCGCCGGTCAATCACAGTGATCTGCAGGTAATGTTTTAGGTGAGGAGCTACCGGCGCCATGTTGTCTACATGTGATACAGTAACCAGAATTAACAGTGATGCAAGCAGAATTAACAGTGATAGAAGCCAGCTATCGGTGTGAATAAGGTGGATAAGTGCCCTGATCTTGACAACAGCCTCAACCACAACACTAACAATAGGACAGTGTGCAGAAGGTAGCTAGTTCCACCAGTAATACTTTAGATAGGTATCAACCAATGGATTATTATCCATTTTTCAGAAGTGCAATTTAGTGCAATTTTGAAATTCCTAAACTAAGGGGTGACAAATCAATCTGACAGGTCTGGCAGGACAGTTGTTGACTCAGGCCCTCTGGAAAATGACCCTGTTGTGATGGAGTTCTTTTGGGGAATTTTTGCAATGCAAATGTAAAATGTATTTTAAATAGAATTTGTGTTTCTCTGGTCTTCCTAAGCCACCAAAGATTAGTTTTTCTGATTGACTTAAATTGGTTATTTAAACTTACACCAGGGTAAAAATAAAAGATTTTGTCACATACATTAAATGTCACTTCCAAATCTATTACTTATTTCTATAAGTTTTACAAACTAAGACAGACATAAAAACCATAATTAGTATTGAGAGGAATTTATGATCATAAGTACCATAAGTACCTCTATGAATTGGCTTCCTTACACTGCTCTCCTCCCCACTGATATCTGATGTGTGGTGAGCGTTCTGGCGCACTATGGCTGCCGTCGCATCATCCAGGTGGGGCTGCACATTGGTGGTGGTGGAGGGGATCCCCATTACCTGTAAAGCGCTTTGAGTGGAGTGTCCAGAAAAGTGCTATATAAGTGTAGGCAATTATTATTAATTATTATTAATAAAATATCAGACATAAAATATCAAGAGTAATTTGTACCTGGCCACTAGGATGAAGTTATGAGTTAATCAGATGATTTAATCAAACCTTTTATGAGAGCTGTATACAAGAGCTGTATAAACACCACCTTCGAAAACAGCAGCAGAAATCCTAAAACGAAGGCTGATTTCTATATTGGCCTTAAAATACAAAGCTCTCCGGTGCCAGTTAAACTTTTGAATACAGAAATACAGAACAGGATAAGTAGCTTTATGATAAATAAAACAAAAGAATATATGAATAGGAAAATAAGAAAACGGATTAATGGTGAAGTATAGCCATGGAAAATTACACTTTAATAATGCAGCTGCTGTTCCAGCTGTTGTGCACAGTCCTGGATCAGCGGCCAGTTTCAGAGCTAGTTTAACAGTTAAGTACAATTGCCTTTGGATGGCAATGAGTTATCAGTGCTAGTGAGCCTGAGCTAAAACTAAACCAGTCTGATAAGACATTAGAAATGCAGTTACTGGATGATACAACACAGAATACCCACCTTGGTCCTGTTTAGATTTTGAGGCAAAGGCTTTGAAATTGGTTGTTTTTCTTTGTCCTTCTTGTTGACCAAACAGATAGTCCACGCTGAGCAAAGAAATCTTCTCTTTAGCCTGTAACTGCAGGTGCTCACTGCTTCCCAGCATGACAAGACATGGAGACTTGTACTTCTCATTTTCTCGTTAACAAATCTAAAGACAGACCCATCAAGGACAGGAATCTTACCCTAATCACCTTTTCTTTCTTTATAATTAATGTTTCTGAGGATGTTGCACCGTGTAATATGTATTTGTATTTGTTCTGAGGCTGTCTTGAAGTTTTCTATGTGAGTAATGACCCAAAAAGCACGGAAAAGGAAACACTTTTTTTCCAAGTTGCATTGACTTTGGGTTTCTTTTGTTTAAAATGTTTTTATTTTGCACACATGCAAAATAGACATGAGGAGCAGCTCAAGAGTTGTGTACTGTCCTTGCTCTGTAAACTAAACATAAACTGAAACTGCACGTACTGTACTACAGCCCTCCACCAACAGTAACATCAGGATGGAGGGCAATGCCACAATAATTTGTGAGGTGGAAGGACGGGCTTGTTATAAGAGAAAAGCCAATCAGGGTCCAGGTGAAAAGCGGTTATGAACAGGCCATCTACACTGCTGCCAGCTGTGTGACAGCGACACCCCGCCCCTGGCTCTTTACTAATGGTATTAGGATGCCCCAGAAGCACTGACCCCGGGGGACACGCCATTCCCGGCGATGACAGGACCCGACAACTGCGGCGCGACCGGCGAGCGGCTGGGTCACCGCATCCCCGCGGAACCGGCGACTTCTCACAAACTGGAAGCTTTATAACTGAAGTCGACGTCTTAATTCGTGGTTTCCCCATCCACCTTACAGTCTTGTCCTGTGAAACACTTTCGCAAGAAAAACCAGTTTGAGCAAAAACATTCTAAAGAATAAAATAATAGAAGAGCACTTTTTTATTCCGATTTGTATAGAATAGTGTGCCCACCCCCAGACTACAGTGTTGTGCGTTTTGAAACTTTTTTAGGTAGTCTAAACAATCGTTCTGAGAATAAATCATCACAATGAACTTCACTTACACATCTTTATTACACATCTTAAAGCCCATGTGTGTTCCACAGCCAGTGGGTTCCTTTATGAGATTTACTGAGTTTTTTCAACACTTCTCCGATAACGACAATCCAAATCAGCGTTAGCGTTAACATTGATTAACATACATACTCATAGTCAGTTACCTTGTTAATATTTATATATTTATTTTTAGAAGAATCTACATTAATTTGGCATGTAGATGTATATTTTCATGAAATGTAACAAATCGATTTCTATTTAAACCGGGTATCTTTTAAAATTTTGCTGATTCCTAAACAACTGCTAACTGATTATCAATTAAACTCTCCCAAAACAATCTTAGTGACACAAGTTAAATTCCACCTGGTCATGTAAATAAAAATGCTAAATGAAATGAGATCTGATTCTTATCACCTGGCGCAGTGATCGTGCTAATTTCCAAACTTGTCCTTCTGTAAGGCACTATTTGGAGACAAATCAATTTAACGTCAATAAGCTTCATAAAGGATTGAATTTATCTAATCTCCGAGGAAGAGACTGAACAAAACGTGAAAGACCTCGTTGTAGCTGAACCATAGACCCAGGAAACAAATCGAAACATGTCTGATGAGTAAAGAGATGGTGGCGCTCTCCACAATCGCGGCCGCATTTCTGAACGTGGGGGAAAAACACTGCAGAGGGAGAATGAGCTTCGTTTTTTACAAGAACCGAGCTGCACCGGCTCCCGGCGCTACCCGGGGTGTAAATAAAGGCGTTGCTCTCCACATAGATGTTTTTATCCGGTTTTCATGCAGGACTCTGGGACAGCTGTTAATGTGAGCTCTGCTGGGTGAAGCCACGCACACACAACACACACACACACACACAGCCTCTCGCGTGGAGCCGCACGTCTCAGGAGCTCAGGGCCCAAACCCGTCCGAGCCTTTGCTGCTGCCGGCATTAAACACCGGACTGATACCGAGACTCTTTAATGTAGCATTTAGTCCAACTCCTGACTGCACTAGCTCCACTTTATAAATCTCCCAATTTTCTTTCTTATTTCCTCTGTTGTCTCTTGTGTGCAAATTGTACGGTGCCTTAAGTTTCCTGAAGGGTGCCAATACGTGAAATGCAAATAAAATGGTACAGTTGACAATCCTCGCTGTGGAGAATTAGCTGTGCAAGAAGAACAAATGGCGAAGGCCTATAAATAGTCTTTCCTTTAAGAATGGAAAATGTTTTAACATATTGTAATTTGATCAACTACAAATCCTTAAAAAGTAATCTTATTAAAATGCATTGGAATTCTTTTTACAGCAGAAATTCGCATAAAAATGTCAATTAAGAAGCCACTTCTGTCTGAGGAAGGAGATAATTCGTGCTTTGGAATAAAGTTCAGTAACTGATTGGCATGGGAAGTATTCATTCCGCTGTGAGTGTGTAATATTTTTTAGATTCCAAGCAATGGATGAAATGAAGAGTTAATAAAACACTTCTTTTGTGTTGCGTGTTACAAATTTAAAACTCCCTCTCCTTTTTTGAATAAACAGCTGTTTCTCTGAAACACTTTAAGAAGGAGGGGAGAATCTACGTTAAATATTATGAAAAAAATATATTACTCAGAAAAAGACTCGGTGTACGCAAAACGAACCTATGATACAGATCTTATAACTAATATATCGATATGTTATCTTTTATATTGAAATAAATATGCCTTTTTGTTATTTTAAAAATCACTCCACCCCTTTAATCGTGAGAAAAGTGTAATAGCACATTCCGTTTTGGAGTTCGTAAACCTGTGATTTCATTGGCTGAAGCCCTTGAAATGTTCCGCGGGAAAAAAATAAAGCTATGTTCGATAGTTCCACGCCCCAGCAATTCAAGTCTCAGCGTGTGATTGGCTAACTTTGGAAGGGCGCACGCCAGAAGGATGGATCTGATTGGCTCTCGGTCGAACTCGTTGTCAGGTCAGATTTGTATATGGTTTTTTCTATTGGCTTAGAGCTCGCGAATGCCGCGAGAAAAAGAAAGCTTTTTTGTGATTTGCCAGAACGGGAGAGGGGAAATGTAAAAGCGCTCCTGATTGGCCGGGAGGATTGCCGCGCGTGTGCCTTTTCTTTTTGAACATAAATAGAGGATGCGGGCGAATTACAGCACTTAGATTTCAAGGGGAGGTCAGAGGAGGAAGTGGAGGCTGTTCTCTGGCCTGCAACATCTGCAAGAATGCTTTCCTCAGCTGTTTAGCGTCTTCTTTCTGTCCCTGGGAAAACGGCTTGCTATGCGCCCTGCAGCTAGTGTTTTTTAAAGTGTGCGTCCATCCTGTACGCTCAGCCCTCCGCCGAGGGGCCGACTATCGCGCCTTCGAAACAGCCGGAGGCCCGCAGCCGCCCCCTCTTCCTCGATCTGCCCCCTTGCAGGCACGGATGATGGAGTACAGCGAGGTCTTCTTCAGCGACTTCAGCCCCCGCGTCCCGCAGGCCCGCGGCGGCGCGCTGTCTCTCCCGGGGCTCGGCTCCCGCGACTCGCCCTGCACCCGGACCCTCTTCTCCCCGGAGCCCCCGGCCGTGCTCTCCCCCGTCACCAACCTGGCGCTCAACATGACGCACCTCGCCGTGCTCGGCAGGTAGGAGCCCGACCCCGGCGGGGGCGCCCCGGCCGCCCTCATGGCGAGGGCCGGGGGGGCACATGGGCAGCGGGCGCTTCTGCAGCTGCAGCGTCTGTCTGAGCTGGTGACGCTGCAGCCGCCCGAATAGCTAGGAGACGCGGGGTGGAGAGGGGTGTCCCGGCCTGGTCCCCGAGACCAGATGAGTCGGCATCAAACCGTATTCTCGTTTATTCCCAGTGCTGGTGTCCCGGCTGGGAGTGGGGATCAGCTTGATCATGGAGGCACAGTCGTGTTGTCATGGCACTGCTAACTTTTTTTTTTCTCTCGCATGAGAATCTGAAATTGAATTGCCGATCGCTGTGGTTCGTGGTCTCTTGGTGCTCTGTGCTCGGCTGATCTGGCCGAGCGGCCGCGGTGCTCATGCAGCCTCGCCAGCTGCGTGCCAGCACGCCTGCCCGGTCGGAGGGGGGCGCAGCCGGCCCGGTTGCGGGCTGTAACCCTGCCAATTCAATTCAAGGTGCTTTGTTGGCGTGACCGATGGGTACAATCAGTGTTGTCTCTCTCCCCGCCCGCAGCCAGTGCGACACCCCGAAGCGCAGAGCCCCGGTCCCGCTGCTCAAGATCCCCTCCTTCGCGTCGGACGCCTCCTCGGACGCCGGTGAGTTCAGCGGCTCGGTCTGAGCGCTTGAGCTGGAGCTCCTGCTCGTCATTCGCTACTTTATTCGCTACCCGGGCTCAGCTGCCCTCTCTTGCCTGCCTGGGGAGCTTGTTCCGCCGCCGGCGCGCGCAGTGTCGGGGTGCCGGGGTCTGGGGGCGGGGGCTCTCCGCTGCCGGACCCCGGCCTCACCGCTGCTTGTGATTGCAGGTCTCGGGATGGACTCCCCCGCCAGCCCCCTGGACCCCGCTGCCGTCGAGGAACGGTGAGTCCCGGGGCCCTCGGCTGTCTCGCAAAGGGAAGGGAGCCTTGAGGTTAAGGTTTTGGGGGTCGGCGCCGCTGGGGGCTCGCTGGCCCGCAGGCCTGTGGGGGGCCGGTTCTGGATTCACATGGAGAGAGCTGGGGGGTACAGCTCTGTTGGACTCTGGGTGACGGGTTAGATTGCAGCTGTTTCTACAGTCTCCCTCCGTCTTCCTGTACTCAGTAAATCAGGAGTGCTCTAGAGCGGCATTGCAGGATAGAGACAGGAGGCCCGTTTGAAGCAGAGGAGTTGGCATTTTGCTGCGATCAGCGGTTGGTTTGTTATTTCCTGCCGGGTGTGTCTCTCGCCTGCGGGTCGCCGGTGCAAAACCGCCAGCTCGTCGTGCATCGGGGCCGGGGGTGACAGGGGGCCTGTCCGTCTCTGTGGCGGCAGGGACGGGCTGGGCTTCCTGTTTTTCAGTGCCCCGGCTGAGCCCGTTCCGCGCCCTGGCAACCTCCCGTCGTGCCCGTCTTGAACAGTGCGGGTTTGTCTGCGGTGTGGAATATGGTGCTGATGGTCTTTGCACAACTGCAACTGGGAATGGACTCTGGTTCACGGTTTGCGTGTTGGTGTACTTGAGAGGGATACTTGTGGCCTGTCTGTGGGGCAGCAGAGCAGACGGGCCCTGTGTTGCTGAGCGCCTTTCAGGAAGTAAACTTGTCCTTTCTTCCTAGCCCTGGTCATCCGTGCTGTGGAAGACAAAGTTCTAGCTGCAGATTAGCAGCGGTCTTGACTTTTTAGTTGACTCTAATCTAATGTGTGCCTACCGTTTATTCCAGCAACAGACGTGGTTCATGTTCGGTTTTCTGAAGCAAGGTGGCAGCTGAAGTGACTTTGCTATGTAGCTACAAGCATGTTGCCTTCTTGCAATAGGGGGGCTTTTTTATAATGGCCCTTTTGCTCTTTGTGGGCCAATTTCTTGGCTTGCAAAGAAGACCTTGAGCTATGAATCGCAAGCTGCAAGTGGAAAGCTTGGGGTTTAAAGTGTCCTTTTCTGAATTGAATGTGGGTGGCCCGGTGCCTGTGTTTTAATTAAAGGACTGCTCTTTGAGAGGACTCAGACATCTGATCTTGCCACAGTCTGTCTGTTGATGTGCAGGTTTGTCTCCGCAGTGTGGTGGAGTCTCCAGCTTAGTGGCTGCACAGCTGTCTCTCTCGTTTTATTTTGGCTTGCAAGCTGGATTCCTCTGCACCCACAGGTGCCTGTACCAGACAGCGAGGCTTCAATTAACTCGCCCTGCCCCCCTCCAGTAAGTGGCATCTGGCACGCTTTCCCTGCGTCCTGTTGATTGATGCCGTCGGAGAACGGGGGTGCTGTATAATCCACGTGCTGAATAGAGGCCCGAGCCAGCCCAGCCAAGCCCTGCTTCCTATTGTAAAAGGCACCCCAGCTCTCTTATCTCCCTGCTGCCCTAACAAAAGGCTCATGCTGTGGGGGTTGGCGTGATGCCTTGAAGGAGGCATATGGCAGATTAAAAGACCCCTCCCCCCCCCCCCACACACACACAATCTATTTTGCATACAGGTGGACTTGGGGGATGCATGATCCAGTCTCCGCACAAAAGGAGGCCACCCTCACTCCTGGGGGTCTCTTTGTCTGTTTTTTTTTTGGCCTCTTTCTCGTCCGAATGTGGGTCGAGGTCTAATTGGTTCAGCGGGGCTGCTCTGGAACTGTGGCTAAAGGCTGTGAAGGGCTTTACGTCTGGGAGGACATCTGGGCTGCTCTTATTTGAGTAATTGACCCCAATCTAAAATGTAGCCTGTAAGAGTACAGTCGGTGGTTCTGACACTGTGCCTCCTGGCCTCCTCCACCCTTTTCGTTTCTGCACGTAAAGACTTACTAGAGCACGTCGCACCTGGTTTTAGTTGCCTTCAGTATTGGTGCTAGGGTTGTCACCAACATGAACATGGGTTCTGATGGGTTGTTACTGGTTGCTGTTCCTACAGGTTTGAAAAAGCTTTACTGGAGTCTGGTGCCATTCTAAGGGAGTAAGTATTTTTTAATATTTCCGGTGAAGCAATTAAATATTGCATGCTTGAGGCAAGCTCATGTTATTTTTGTGCAATCTATCTTTTGATCTGTTAGGCTTATGTAAAAGACTTAACTCTTATTTTGCATTGTGATGAATCTCCCCCTTGCATTCCTGATCAAGTGAAAGGTTGAAAAACCCAAACCTGCCCACTGTTTATATTTATGAATGAAGCTGAGAGTAGAGCCCCGTCTGCATTCCACAGTGTCTGGTTACAAGATGTGGCGGAAGTATGCATTGGGGGGGAAACGCAGGCAGATGGCAGTGCTAGGTTACCTCTAGTTACTAGGAAGATCCTGCAGATGGGTGCCAATTCACACAGAGCTGTTGCTTTAAGCACAGACTTGGATATGATGCTTAAAATTCACCTTGACCCATCTGTATAGGACATCAAAACAAACCTTATTATTTTAATAAGTTTTGCACTTTTTTCTTTCTGTAGTGACAAGATCCCAATCCGAAGAATTAATTCCTTACCGGTAAGTTGCTTTAAAAGGAGGTTTCCTATTTTGTCCCACCTCGCAGTTTAGCACTAGTTATTTAAAGACTTCCTGTTCGCCACGAAGAAGCGGATGCTTGTATGAAACTGTGACAAATGTTAATTTCGTAAGTTGTTCTGGTTTTAGTTCCCCTAGCAAATGATGCGGTGGCAGGAAATGTTTCTAACCAATACCCAGAATTTTTCTAATGAAGTGTGGACCTGTCATGGTTTACTTTCATTTTAAAAGTTGGTTGAGTGGGGATCCCAGTTTTTGCTAATGTCCACACTGTACCCCTCAAGGACACTGGCTTTTCTGACTTCCTTGCCCCTGGCAGTGACGTGGGACCTCTCCTTGCCTGTATTTTAGGTGCGGCTCTTGGGTTCCAGTCCTGCGCTCAAACAGAAGGACCCTGATGGCAGAAGCTTTGGCATTTTCAGCCGAGGAGGGTCTGAGTCTTCAGGAAACAGGAGTGGGAAAGAGAACTTGCATGAAGTGAGGATCTTTTAAAGTCTGTTAGAAAGCAACATCAGCTGTTCAAACAATGTACATCTTTGAAATGGATGGGTGTTTGCTGCTGCTAATAACTCAGACAGCTCTAGTCATTTCTTGTAGTGCTGCATCAGCTTAACCAAATGGGTCAAAGGGAGTGTTAATGTAGGGAAATGTCCTACACTGAAGGCAGACACTCGTCTTGACTGGGGGGGGGGGCTGAGGACCTGATCCAGGTATTGGGGAATCATTGGGTGGCTTCAGAATTGGTGGTAAAACAAACCAGTAAACACAAGAGGATTTAAAAGGGTTGTACGCATTTTGTAATCTTCCCCGCTGTGCTTGTTGAAGCCGATACCCTGTCTTCCCCCCCGAGACTGTTTTGTCCCTACTGACTCTTCTCTCCACCTGCAGGGGGTGTTTGAGTTCAAGAAGCCGGCCGTGCCCATGTCCCGCTGCCGCCTGCGCTCTTTCCACAGCACTGAGGCGCATGACCCCTCCGCTCGCCGGCCCAGCTCCGCTCCTGCCCTCATGGTGAGCTGGCGCCCTGCCCCTCGGCCCCCGACCGCCCCTCGCTGGACGGGTCCTGCCGTCAGGGGTGCAGGGTTTGAGCAGGCCAGCGCCTCTTTTTGAGGCGCGGTGTCCTTGGTTAAGGGAAAGGAGCTTTTGTAACCCTGCGCCGTGGTTTCTCTTGGCAGCTGTCCCCCCCTCCTGTGGCGCGGCTGTGCTCCTTGGAGGATGGGAGTCCCGTCGTGCTGCGGCGCTCCTCTCTCACCTCCTCCCTCGACGACGACAGCGATGACGGCTTCCTCGACGTCCTGGACAGCGACATGGAGGTGAGGCTGGCGCTGATTTTGCAGGGCTGGTGGGCAAGACGGCGATGCGTAGCTTATATATGTGAAGGTTATGAGTAGGAGGAGGTAGTAATCTGAGGAGGTACAGAAGTACCTCCTGCTCTCTTCGTTAACTGTGTGCAAGAGCACGTCCCACCTGTGCGCTCGGGTTCGTGTTTCACTGATTCTGTAGAAGCCGGATCCTGTGAGGGTTTTGAAATACTTGTATCCAGTCCCTCTCAATCTTCTCTGCTCAAGACTAAGTTTAGGTTCAGTTCCTTCAGCCCTGAAGTTTTTTATTCTGGTCGTATTCTAGAAGGGCAATCTTGTTAAAAAAAAAATCAGTGAATCTAGTAGTATACGGTGTAATACGTCATACAATTTGCCCACGATATCCCTTAAACTCTGTTTTACCCATATAGATAACTACAGACTAGTATTTGGTTTGCCTTTTTAATTTACTACAATTCCCAATTTATTACAGAAGACAAGATAACCTCCCCTACCTTTATCTGTAGCTGATAAGCAGAAAGAGTTTGTGAATGGGAAGATTTGTCACTAGGAGAGTGTGAGAAGTGTTGATTTAGTGTAACTGGTGTCGTTCCCTCTGTGCCCCTGCAGAGTAATGCAGAAATGCCCCTGGGCATAGCCAGTCTGCTGACTGCTCCCTTAGTCCAGGAGAAAGAAGAGCAGAGCTTGGACTCGGTAAGTGCACTTGCATGGTGAGTTTGAACTCAGACATGTAGAACTGCAAAGCTTTTAAGAGATTTTAACTGGCCTTTCTAGATGCAAAGCTTGGACATGCGGCCACTAGTTTGTGTTGTAGGGCAGTGTTTCACAACCCATTCCATCCCACTGCACTGCTATGTTAACATAGTGGGAATGCTGCCCACTGCTGTCTCGTGCCTCTTCCTCTCTTGCCTGCCTGCCTTTCTCCAGTCTCCTCTCTGCGTCCTCGTTGGCTTCCTGCTTCTCTGCAGCAAAGTCTCTTACACTGAGCATGCAACGTAACGTGGCCCATTTCCAGAAGTCCGCGGCTGAGCAGCGCTGTGCAGTAGGGTGACCTGCTGGCTCGTCGTGGTAACGCTGTCTCTCTTCCCTGCAGCCCATAATCCGGTGCCGTCCCCGCGGCCTGTTCCGCTCGCCCTCGCTGCCTGCCTCGGCCGGCCGCGCCCACCTGAAGCGGCCGGAGTGCCCGCGGGACGAGCACACGCCGGTCCGGGTGAAGCGGCGGCGCAGTGTGGCCGGGACCGTCCGGCCCGAGGACACGGAGGTGGAGGAGGGCACGCCTGGCATGGTCAGTACCCCTTTCATCAGGCCCTCCCAGTTCTTCACCTGCATCCTAAAGTCAGTTTGCAGCAGTGAAGAAATGTGCTGGGTATTGTGGATATGGTAGAAAAATACTTTGAAACCCTGACTGTTGCCCTTGTACTTTGGTGTTAATTGGCTCATCTTTTTTTTTTCCCCAGTCGTGCCGGTTGGTGCAGAGGTCCAAGTCCTTCTGTGATCAGGACATCGAGAAGCTGCTGGACAGTGATGTCAAGGAGCTGATTGGAGACTTCACTAAGGTAAGGAATTGGAGCAGGTATGTGTGTGTACACCCAACTACAATGTTGTGCAGGACAGTGTTATGGACGGACACCTTTTATGGAGTGTTTTCATGTCTGTTGTCAAACGTGAATGCACAGGTCTGAAACAGGTGGTCGGCTTGTCTCAAATCTGAGTGGCTTGCAGGCAGGTGAGGTTATGCTGCCAGTGCTGCACTTTTGCAGAACAATAGCAGAAAAAATGTCACTAGGCCCTGCCTTGACAGAAAGGGCACATGAAGAAGCCACAACTGTGAACTTGAGTCTTCCTGGAGGGACAAGCGCTTCAGTGTGCTGAAGGGGGGTGCAGTACGAGGTGATTGTGTGGTGAGGTTTGCAGATCTGCTCTGCTGTCTTGCTCATGCTTCTCACTGCTGTGCTGTCACCCTACAGCCCTTCGTCCTGCCCACGGTGGAAGGGAAGCACCAGGATCTGAAATACATCACTTCTGACATGGTAAGAAGTCCTAATATGGATCTGATTTTCCAGAGGGTGTGGGGTGGGGAGATGCTGTCTGTCCAGTGTCATTCCAGTTCAGCTCTTAAACTAGCCAGCAACCTGAGCATTGAACATAATTGGACAAAGGTTCCTTTTCACACAAGACCCATTCCTTCTCTTTCCTTCTCTCTTCCCCCTGTGGTGAACTGTGGTCCTGCTGCTCAGATGATGGCCGCTTTGAAAGGGGAGTTTAATCACTTGGTGGAGCAGATCCTGGTCATCGACTGTCGCTACCCATACGAGTTTGAAGGAGGACACATTAAGGTGAGTTTGGTGTTTCTCTTGCGTCACTCCCAGATGTGTGGACTGTTTTAAGTTGGCCTGGTAGAGGACCTGTGTCAGTTTGGCAGGTAGAGCCACCTGCCCTGTTGCCATCTACTGGTTTGCTGCAAACCTCGCCAGGAGAATTAATTTTCTTCCGGCAGACCGTGCAGATTTCTGTTTGTCCAGAGTTGGTTTTTTTTTTTTCCTGATCACTAGGAGAGATTGGATGTGTGCACACTTGCAGCTCTGTTCTGCACAAGCAGGTCTTTCCAGTTCTAAAACTGGGTCCTGTTTACACGTCTAGTTTTGATGTGTAATTGTACGTCCTGAGCTCCTTAAACTAATGGAGTTTCTTATTTTGGCTAAATGAATCCTGAGTAGAAACAGGAGGACGGTGGCCCTGGAGAACATTAGGGGGGTTTAAAGGGGTTCAATCTGTCCTTGCAGGGCGCCCTGAACCTGCACCTGGAGGAGGAGGTGGAGAAGCACCTGCTGAAGACCCCCATCATGCCCTCCTCGCCTGACAAGAGGGTGCTGCTCATCTTCCACTGCGAGTTCTCCTCGGAGCGCGGCCCCCGCATGTGCCGCTTCGTGCGGGAGCGTGACCGCATGATGAACGAGTACCCCAACCTGCACTACCCCGAGCTTTACGTGCTCAAGGGCGGCTACAAGGAGTTCTTTCCCCGCTACGAGGTGAGTCCCGAAGGCCCGCCCCACCCCGCCCTGCCGTGCGCTCGGCCCCGCGGCTCGGCTCACGCCCGCTCTCTCCCCACAGGCGCACTGCGAGCCGCAGGGGTACCGCCCGATGCACCACGAGGACTTCAGAGAGCACCTGCGCAAGTGCCGCCTGCGGAGCCGCACGTGGGCGGGGGAGCGCAGCAAGAGAGACCTGTACAGCCGGCTGAAGAAGCTTTGAGGCCCCCTCAGGCTCGGAGTCGCGGGTTTGAACAGTTCCACCCGGACCAGAGGGTGCTTGTTGCCTCGTTTGCTCCTCAATCTGCCCTGTGGGCTGGCTGGGTCTTTTGTTGTCGGACATCTTTAAGCTGAAGGCAGGGTCATGTGTTCTGGAACCTGCAAGTGGCCCAGTGTCTCTGCTGTGGCTGCCCGGACGTCCTGCTTTGAGCTGGACGTTTGGGGGCCTTTCCCACTGGCTGGATCGGGTGCCTGCTTGACGCCCTGACCTTGTTTGCACAGCAGCAGGCCAGCTCGCCACAGACAACACCTCCTGCCCCCTCATCCCGGCGGTCCTGCCTGCCATTAGGAGTCCGTATCCGTTACTATGCACAACAAACAGTGTCGTTCACTTGAATTGGCACCTGCTCCCTTCCTCCAGCTCTTTAATTGGGGCTCTAGTTTGGACAGATTCCCTGGAATTATGTAAACAGACCTGACCCTTGTTAGTCCTCTCAGATTAAGGACTCAAAACTACAGGTTCTTGTCACTGTTCTGGAGAAAGTTTTTAACTTCCCTCTCGGACCATCCAAGTGGTGCTTAGTCTTCATCTTAAACGGTCGATTTTCCTAATTTGTTGAATTTTAAAAATGGTTTTCTTGATTCCCTCTTACCCAAGCCTGTTTTGGTGCAAGGTGAGTTTTTTCCTTTTAAAGGTTTTGTCCATTTTAATAAAACTTTGACCATGGCAGTGTGGAGACCTGTGGATAATTTCCATTGTGAGGAAAAAGTTTGCCTCAGTCGAGGGTTTTTTCTTGCCCCAGACTGGAAGGCTCTTGGAACTGAGTTGGTGCTTTTACCTCTGAAGTGCAATATCTCCTGTCTGGATGTTTTTATCCTGCACCAGGAGAAACCAAGATAAAGATCTCCTTCTGAACTTCCATTCTTGACAGCAACTGAACTGTGGGTTAATGGATGGCATTTAACTCCAGATTTTCCGGAAGAAATTCTGAATTTGTCAATATCCATGGACTCCTCCTGCATACTTGACACTGACCTGCACTGTTAGAATCCTGAATTTACTACAGAGGCAGTTTTGTATGGAATGTGTTTTGTAAAAGCAATGTTTCTTTTTAATACCATATTTCCACTACTTCTATAGTAGAATTAATGTCTTTCAATTAATGGGCCTTACTTACAAATTTTCTGCAAGGCTTTTGACCTGCTGGTATTCACTTTTAAAGTTTTGCTTTTTAGCAACTTCAAAGTGAACGGTTTGTAATCTGGCTTCGCTCCATCTTTAAGTCCAAGGCACCGAGGGCTGTATTCACAGAACACAGATGAGCCGTTTGTGCTTGTTGCATACACCTCATTTATACCGGCTTTAGAGCTGGTTTGTGACCTTGAAAACTTTTTAAAATGTGCTGGTAGCAGAAGAGGCTCTGGTTTGTTCCTGGGTTTTAACTGCTGCTACCGGGTCTGGTAGACCTGAGATGTTTAAAGTCCAGCATTGATGACGGCTGTTTGTAAACCAGCAAAACAGCTGGGAGACCATTTATGAAATGTTGCCTCCTTGAGCTTGGACATCCTCATTTCCCCCCTCAGCCTTGGCACAATGCCCCTCTCTCCTGGCTCAGGACTGAAATGAGCTTTGCAAGGGGAGAAGAGAAGTGCTGCCGGTCAGCAAAAAATGAGTTTCAGGTCTTACTCTGGTAGAAGCGATGACGAGGGGATTCTGTTTTGTTGTTAACCTTGTATTTTATTAAAGTTGTACAGCAAATAATGAGTGGCACTGTGACCTCTCCCCACCAGGTTGGGTGTCCAGGCATTGAGTGACTATCCATGTGTGAACGTGCTTTTGTTGCTGGTTTGCTGTTTGTGTGAAACTGGTTGTATTTTCATACTTGCTTCGTCATTTTGGCAGGGATAAATAAACATCTGAACTTTTATCTTTTTGGGTCTGGAATTTTTTTTTGAGTGTATATGAGCCTGCATAACATTGGTGTCTGTGTGTCTCCAAAGAAATACTAACTTCTGCCAAACTATTGTGGGAACCTCTCCACACTGTAAAAGCAATTTATCTGGTTGCCAAGCGTGTGTACCCACAAGGCCAGGAATGCAGGATGTGCTGATTGGGAGGACTCGAATCAACCAGAGCACACGGTCTTGTGGTTATAGTGGAAGAGGAGAGTCCACTGCTCATGTTCAGCCTGTAGTCCTTATTGCAGATAAAAATGGCCCATTCGTACTCGGATAAGGTGCTCTCTTTCATCTCTGTAGTAGGACACCTGGGAAGCTTGGCGTCTCTGCTCACAGACACTGGTTTGTCTTGTCTTCTGCAGCAGTAGCCCCTTAGGCCTGTGGGATATGACATTCCTCTGAGCTCAGGAAGGTGGTGGTGTTCTGTAACCTGTCCCAGTGGCTGGAGAAGCGAGGGTCAATGGTAGGGATGGTTATGCTGGTTAGGTTACCTGGCATCATGTTTTAGGGAAGGAAGGAGGAACTCAGACTTGGCAGAACGAGTAGACTCTGCACAGAGAGCCCCAGTCTGGTGTCGAGCTCGGGATGTAGGAGCCCACGGGCCAGTGCTGTAGCCATTACCTGCTGTACAAGGCATCGTGCGGCCTGCCAGTTTTGAGTGCTGATCACACTTAAAAAGGGCAGGGGAGCCGGACTTGGCTTTTGAGAGAGCTGGAAAGCAGAGATGGGTGAAACCAGTCTGGCATTGGACTACAGCTGCTCTCTATTGTGGACATTTTTACATCTTGCTCTCTCAGGAAGGCTGGAAGTATCGCTGTAGTATCCTGTTTTCTCCTTTTTCTTCCCTCTGGTAATTGTTATAGGAGCATAAAAGTATGACCTTCCAGATTCAGAGACCGTTTCTTCCCACAGGCTGTCAGACTACTGAACTCTACTGCCACTGGCTCACTGTGGGGGTTTTTAAGTTGACAATTATTTAACTTGTCGCTGCTGCTGTTCAGTGTTTTTTTTGGGGGTGTTTTCTTAATGTCTTTGTATTGGAGCATACATGCAATACTCATTTCGTTGCACTTGTGCCTGTGACAAACTGAACTGAACCTTTTAATCCAGTTACCTGGGTTCTAAATTATTACAGTGGGGGAGGATACAGAGGGCGTTTTCTCACTGCTGTTGCTGCTCCTTAAACGGAGGCTGAACGCCCCAGTTTAAATAGTTTCAGCGGCCTCATCGTAACCTTTACGGATTTGCGTGCTAAACCACATCGGCCATTATTTCCCTTTGAAGAGAGATGCAGAGGCGAGAAGCCAAACGCAACATGTATGCAAAGCAGAGAAGGCGGCTGATCTTCTGAAAAGATGAGATCCGCAGTACAAAGGTTTCGGGGTGTCTTTCACCTGTCCGTGCGCGGCGTGTTCGGGCAGGACCGGGCAAACACGGCAGCGCGCGGCGCACAGTCTGTTGGAAAAGCACGTGCGCGCTGCACGTGAGGCTGTTCCCAGTGTCAACACGCGCGTCCAAACGTTTTTCAAATTCCGCACAGGAATGCCATTGGTCCTGGGAGACCCGGAGGAAAACAGAACCATTTCCTGCCTTGGATAGTTTAAAATGATTTTTTTTTAAAGATTTGCGATTACAACTTTTTTTCATAAATAGCTGGAACTTAAAAAGTTGATAAAAGATACTGTGCGGTACGTCTCTGTGCCAAGTGAC